AACCCGGATCCTTTTAAAAAACAACTGGGCGAGCAACGCCCCTCAAGCCAGCTCACGCTTGGCCGGGTCTCTCGACCCGGCCAAACTCCTCAACCCGGCCGGACTCCTCAACTCGGCCCTAACAACCAGCTCAAGATAACTGAACCCAACGCATGAAGACTTCTCCAGCAAGCCAGCTCCACCCTTGGCGCGTTCCTCAACCCGGCCACGGGTCAGCTCCCATCCCATCCCGGTCGTATGATGGGACGAGTCTCCATCTACCGATGACCAAGGCAACAGTGCCGTGCCCATGCCTCTGGTCAGCCGGGGCATGGCAACAGTGCTCCACCTACCCGCTGACCAGGGCCGGCGTGGCAACAGTGCAACCATCATCACCAATGACGCCAGCAAGCGGCGACCTGACGGAGCGTCACTATAGCCGACTTAACCCGGCCACTCCCTGGCAATCGACAAGACGACCAACAGTGCCCCCGTACCCAGCGGGCCCCGCGCTCGGAGAACCCGACGAGCCCTGACCCCGGCGGGTCCCAGCACCGGCTTCCCGGACAATGACACCCCACGGCCTTATAACATTACCATTGTACCCCTGGGGGGTTGACCTATAAAACCCCCCAGGAGCCCTCATTCATACAGGAACGCGATCATTCACTTACTCACACACACACGTAGCAGGCAACACCCAAGGAGAGGGAGCAGCCTAGGCCTTGGTCTGCCTTCTTTCTTCCTCCGTACAACTCCAAGAGCAACTCTGTACTGATACACATCAACTAGACTCGGCAGGACTAGGGGTATTATCTCCCCGGAGAGCCCTGAACCTGGGCATGTCTTGCGTCCCGCGCTCGCTCATGCCGGCCTCGCCTCTGGAACCCACCAGTGCCCTCGAGCCTCCTCCTATATTTAGCCATCCCTTAGTATCTATCGTGCGCCCACCACGACAATATTCCTTCTAGTGACACCACCATCAATCATGTTATTTGCGTTGCACGGGAAACGTCATGGTCTATGACGCTTTCCCTGCCCCAAACATCGTCGGCCGTCAATCGATGTGTCATAAATCTATGGGATTGGACACATCATTGCTAGGCATCGACGAGGTGATAGAAACATGCACATGTCCCCGGCTGATAAAGTCAGCACATTATATAACTGGGCATCAATGAGGCGAATGTCATTCCCTTCGTATGTCTAGGTTCTTTGTTTTGTAACCATGGTTTTAAATAGCATATTATAACATTGACTAGTGATATAATATTTAGAAGAGGTCCTGCACTAAGAGACTTTGATCCAAACACATGAATAAGCATTTTTAATAGTGCGCTATAGCATCGCTATAGTGTCTAGAAGAGGTCCAGCGCTAAGAGGGGCCGCACTCTATTTAAAACAATGGGTGGAACATGCGCAATAAGATTCAAATCGTAGACTTGACACACACAGGTGGTCATATTTTTCGGGATTTTATTCTTAGCTTTCAAGCGCTATTCTTTCAAGGGAGTGACGTGTCAGTCAACTACTAGTTATCTTTGGCGACTTCGTCAATCTCAAAATATGTCATCTCGGAAGTACGTGAGTGTCTACGTCTATGTTTCCCAAGAAAAAAGACAAGGGGTTATCCCTATCTCGCAAGTGACAAACTTAGGGCAAAAGGTGAAATTAACTCAATGATAAAGTGAAAACCAAATAGTATAAACAGAATGGTATAGTACAACTCTTTATGGATTTTGAAATTGCACTGGTTTGGTTGACGACTAGTGTAAGGAATTTTTCGTAACCCAAACAGATTGACACCTGTCAATCAATCATACATGGCACTTAGTAGTGGAGTAAGTATTGATTCGGTGCTTGGGATGGCATCCTGAATCGGAATCGCCGCAGGAGAAACGACGACGGTGAGGCGGCACCGAAGGAGGAGGCGGTCGTCGTGCATGGCCGAGAACGAGCTCAGCGGCTCCAGCTCATATTTAATCAAGTGTTGATGGTTGGCATGGTATAATGTGTGCGTCATCTTCTCGGACTGGAAATTCACCATCCCCTCGAGCTCAAAGCTGAACTCCGCCGTCATGGGCCTTTCGTCCGCCTTACTTGCGTGTCCGAGGAATAGGGAGGCAAATCCGCAGGCGTCATTGGCGTAGACTTTGAGGTACCATGTGCACTCCGCTCGGGTGAAACGTGGGGAGCGGGCGCATTCTCTGTCGCAGAGCGTGGCCTTAAGCTTGGAGAAGTTGCTGATGATGAGTGTGTGGGACCCGGACATGGTGTCCAACACCGTGGGCTCCTTGGGTTCGGAAAAGTTTCGCTTTCCTGCCTGCTTCATAGCCATGGTGGACCTGACGGTGAAGCCGCCGTCGCGGACACACA